CCAATTTCCCATTTTTTGCAGTTAAGACCATGGAAACCTTTGTTTGAATATTTTCTTGGGATGTATTCTTAGAAATAGTATATCTGAGTTACAGAGAGTGTCTGTTTACAGTATTGAGGTATATTGTCCACTTGCCCCCCAAAAATGTAGTATTAAATACATTGATAGCAATATGTTGTGTGTGATGATTTTTGGGCATTATGAACAATCATGGGTTTGATTTTTACTCTGTATAAATATTACATACCACTTTATCATTTTTTATTAATCATTTTATTGGGGTGGGGGGCTCTCACAAATCTTCTAACAAGCCATCATTCAATTGTATTAAGCACAATTGTACATATGTTGCCATCAACATTTCCCAAACTTTTTCTTTCTAATTTAATGTAGTGTTCAGGTGCTCCCTGGTGATGTTTAAAGAGTTAGTGGGCTTTGAAGTCATAACTGCACTTGGCAGGAAGTAAGCAATGTCCTTAAGATAGGCAAGGGAAAAATGTTCTTACCTGATTACTTGTGTCAAAGGACATAAATCTATTTGCCAGATGGAAATGTCCTTCTCTTTGCCCATATGCATTTTCATCTTTATGGCCTAATGTCAACAACTCATTCTGCTGTCTTTGTTAAAAACATATCTCACCTACTCTCAAAGGCCCTGGGTGTTGTAAAAGGTTAACCTTCCTTGCTGCTAGCCAAAAGGTTGTAGGTTTGAATTCTACGCAGAAGTACCTTGGAAGAAGTGTGTGGTGATCTACTTAGGAAAAATCAGTCATTGCACACCATATAGAGTACAACTCTATTCTGACACAAATGGGACCAACATGGGTTGGAAACTTTAGCTATCAGCTGGGGTTCGTTTTTCAGGCTGGGGAGAGAAGGAGAACACCATTCAGTTGCTGCCTTACAACCTTGTGCTAAGTGTACCCCAAGTCAACAGACACCCCAACAAAAGTGATAAGAGAACTGTCCTGGAAATTCTCACCAAGATGAGGGTGGGTAAACTAGGAGAGGCAACTTCCCATCAGAAGAAAATGCTTAACAATACAATAGAGAACTGAAG